TTTTAACCAGGTGGAGTCTGTTTCGGGACGCCTACCTTTCTGGGGTGCCTAACCCGGTAGATGGCAGACAGAGAATGCTTCCAACCACATAGGTGCTTTTTTTTATAGGCCATTGCTCCTTGGGCCTCTGTGAAGGGGGGCCAGGTTCTGGCCCATGGTCCCCGGTAGGCTAGAACTGCAAACAAATTGACTGATGCCATGGTCTAATATATACATATCAGCCCGGTATAGCTCCGGGGAGCCTCCGGGACTTGCCCAGAAAATGGCGTTTTATTACATTCAATGCTGATTTTTTCATTTGTCACTTGTCACTTTGCCCTGTTGTGTTTTTGGGCTGTTCTTTTATGCCTTATTAAGCTTACCCCTAAGGTATGTCCAGTTGAACTCCTTTGTTGGCCCCTTGACTTTTCATTTGGCTTTGGGTGGCTAGGGGTTTCTTGTTCCAGAAGGGTTCAGTGCCCGGCATAATGTTCCCGGTACCTGGGCTTCCTGCAGGGCTCATTCACCCTGCAGGCCCTGGAAAACCCCTACAGGCATTATGGATACCTGTTCCGAGCATGCTCTCGCCTTGTACGAATTTTAGGGTTGTTTGTTGCCTGTGCCACCTTGTATGATGATCATATGTTCTTCTCCTCCATGCTGCCTGTTGGGTCAGTACCTGTTGCTATCTCAGCAAGATAGCTTCAGGGAGACACTGAGGTTATCATGAGGGTTATCTTGAGATGATTTCGGGGCATGGTGTCCCCATGGCCCGGTCTTCGACCAGGCCTCCTTTTTTGGGGGGAGGACCCTCCTCCAGAAAATATTTATCTCTGTAAATGCAATCTGATTCTTTTTTTTTTTGTTAACAGTTTAAATATATATACCACAGGAATACAGGAAATTTGATCCACATGATTTTGCCAATATGAAGTGAAATTGTTAATAAGTTCATCAGATATTTTACTCATTTTCTACAGATGATTTCATTCAATTTATTTGATTATACTTATCATTGAAACAGGATTGTATTTAAAGTTTGTGTGCTGTTTTCCTTTACTCCCAAAGGAACTACCTAGTTGTTCCTTTTGGAGTAAAATTTTGCACTTGGAACCTGCTTCCTGTTACTGATGGAATGTACAGAAGATGGACTGCTGTACAGAATGTGGACTGTTGTACAAAACATGAACTGTTGTACAAAACATGGACTGTTGTACAAAACATGTACTGTTGTATAAAACATGGACTGTTGTATAAAACATGGACTGTTGTATAAAACATGGACTGTTGTATAAAACATGGACTGTTATGTAAAACATGGACTGTAAAACATGGACTGTTGTGTAAAACATGGACTGTTGTGTAAAACATGGACTGTTGTGTAAAACATGGACTGTTGTATAAAACATGGACTGTTGTGTAAAACATGGACTGTTGTATAAAATATGTAATGTACAAGGTAGTTTAGTACAAAACATGATGCTGTATAAACATGAACTGTTCTACAAAATATGAACTGTTGTATAAAATATGTGATGTACTAAAGATGGCATTGTATTAAACATATACAAAATCCAGACTTGTATAAAATATTTATTGTTCAAAATATGGACTGTTGTTCAAAAATTTGGGCTGATGTATAAAATATGGACTTTTGTAAAAAAAATATGGGCTATTGTACAAAATATGGGCTGTTGTTCAGAACATGGCATTGTACAAAACATAAACAAAATATGGACTGTTGCACAAAATATTAACGAACAAGATATTGACTGTTATTCAAAATATGGACTATTGTACAAAATATGGTGTACAAAATATGGACTGGTGTACAAAATATGGACTGGTGTACAAAATATGGACTGCTATACAAAATATGAACAGTTGTACAAAATTTGGACTGTTATACAAAAAAAAGATTAAGTTAATTTTGTACAATTGGAATTGTAAAGGGCATAACACGAAAGTGAAAGACTTAAGTCTTGGGCTTAAATAAGCAAGCACTCTTGTGCCACATTTTGTATTGTACATATGTATTCAGTATTGTACTAGACCTTGGTAAAGCTAGGTTTGCCTGTTGCATTCCTTCTCACGCCATCTACAAAATTTCTAGTACAAAAGGTGGAGTTGTTATTATTGGTGGAGCACTCCATAGTTTGTTGTAGCACCCATGGTAGCTATAGGTACCATCATCAGTTTTGGGCGACACGTTTGTTTATTCATCAGTATAGTATAGCAGTATATTTTCTCATGAAGCTGTGAATGTATCAGTATTGTATAGTATAGCAGTATATTTTTTCTTGAAGCTGTGAATGTATCAGTACTGTATAGTATAGCAGTATATTTTTTCTTGAAGCTGTGAATGTATCAGTACTGTATAGTATTGCAGTATATTTTTTCTTGAAGCTGTGAATGTATCAGTACTGTATAGTATTGCAGTATATTTTTTCTTGAAGCTGTGAATGTATCAGTACTGTATAGTATTGCAGTACAGTATATTTTTTCTTGAAGCTGTGAATGTAGGCTGCGTCTTTCTCTACTCCATTCCGAAGTTGTTCTCTTTGCATAACACCATCATTGGATATGAATACAATATTGTATTTTATTTATCTTTTAAATCATTTGTGTATCCAACTTTTCATATCCTCCCTTGTTAAAGAAAAATTCCCTATCTCCTGCAATATGTCGTATATTGTGATCACATTACCTCTGGCTCTCTATTTACGTTGTTAGATTGATGTTCCTTAATTTATGTTCATAGCTTCGCCCCTTGTCTCTAACACTTGTCGTACAGCAAATCTTTGAATTTTTACAATATTTGTTCTTATACTACATAAAGTTGCAGTCACATGCTCGTTGTGCATATTCTAGAGCTGACCTAACATAGGCTAAGTGTATTGTTCAGGATGGTTTTCTTTTTAAGTTCTTAAAGGCTGTTTGCATATTTTCTTCCAGTTTCATATGTACTGTACTATTATTGTGTATTGTTTGTGTGCCTCTGGCATTTGAGATAGTATAGTGTTGATGACCTGGTTTCTCCCTTCCCTGTCCCTGATTTTGTATCTGCTGCCGCCTCATGTTGTATTACCATTCTTGTCTTCCTATGCTTCAGTCTCTCTTCTTATTATAGTACTTTACATTAGCTGCAGCTTATTTAGATTTTTGTATTAGCATGCATATGACCAAACCACACATCAGAAGATGAAGAAACGAAGACGTTTTGGTCCACATGTCTTGATAATGGTCCAAGGCAGACCGAATTGCCGTCGTTCCTTAATTTTTTATGTGTACTTTGGTCATCATATATTCAGCCACGTTATTGTGAATCTTCGTCTGCATAGCATGCGCATATCCTCCTTAATCCTAACAATCTCATCAGCTTTGCATCATCTGCAAACATTGACATGTAGAAGCTTACCTCTGTGGATTGATTGTTCTCATGGATTAGGAGCAGCATGGGTCCAAGGAACAAGCTTAGCAAATTTCAGCTTAGTAAGCTTACTTAGCTTAATTTCTGCTTTGAAGTTTCTTTTTTACTTTTTCTTTGGTATGGGTATGTTAGGCCATTAAGCATCACTCTAGAACAGTGGTTCCCAACCTTCATGTCCCGGTCTCTGTATTACAACCATGTTTTCACCTTTGGACACCCTACAACCACATTCTCACCCATGGACCACTACAACCACATTCTCACCCATGGACCACTACAACCACATTCTCACCCATGGACCACTACAACCACATTCTCACCCATGGACCACTACAACCACATTCTCACCCATGGACCACTACAACCACATTCTCACCCATGGACCACTACAACCACATTCTCACCCATGGACCACTACAACCACATTCTCACCCATGGACCACTACAACCACATTCTCACCCATGGATCACTACAACCACATTCTCACCCATGGACCACTACAACCACATTCTCACCCATGGACCACTACAACCACATTCTCACCTGTGGACCACTACAACCACATTCTCACCCATAGACCACTACAACCACATTCTCACCTGTGGACCACTACAACCACATTCTCACCTGTGGACCACTACAACCACATTCTCACCTGTGGACCACTACAACCACATTCTCACCTGTGGACCACTACAACCACATTCTCACCTGTGGACACCCTACAACCACATTCTCACCTGTGGACCACTACAACCACATTCTCACCCATGGACCACTAGAACCACATTCTCACCTGTGGACACACTACAACCACATTCTCATCCATGGACACCAAACAAACAATTGCATTAGCTGAATATATATACTCTACATAGATTCATGTCACAAGCCCTGCACTGTTATTCTCAGTAAAACTGCATGTAACTTAATAGGAAACATTAAGTTCAACACACTCATAAGTAATTCTTACTTTGTTGAGTACAAAATTTATATATTGTATTGAGTACAATACAGTACATGTATTAGTTCCATGGGCCTTCAAAATTCTTCCATGGACTCCAAGTTGGGAACCACTTCTCTAGAGGTGCCAAGAGAAACATAATTAAACTTTATTGATCCTAACATAGTTTAAATGAACATTAATGAAATGTATATTTTATGAGAGGGAAATGTGAATTTCATTTGCACAAGTTGCCCATTAAACTATTTCTTGTGGAAGTCAAATTATAGGTGTTTTATGAGATGAACATTGTCATAAGTTGACTTCCAGGAAACTACTGATGTCAGCAGCCGGTCTCACGTGAAATACTTACTGATTGTGCCGAGTTAGGTGTGAAAAATGTATCACTATCCAAAATATATAGTTTACACAATTCCCAAATTATTATTCAATTTTAGGAAAGCACATTTCTAAAATATCATATTGTATTTGATGATTATTTTTTGCAGTGCATTTAACCTTAAATCCTATTAATAAAAAGATTGTTATACTACACTAATAAGGGAATTTTAATATTTGTATAACTAATTCATTATTACAAATATTTGTATTACACATTTTCATTATTCATTAATTTTTCATTACAGATGCAGGACGTTAGCGATATCATCTTAAATTGCGCATCAACTCATTGGGGTGATCGGAAAGAAGGCCTGATGGCTTTGCAAGCATTCCTACGTGGCTCTCACATGCTTACGGGATCAGAACTGAAACGTGTCACCGAAATCTTCACCAAAATGTTTATGGATGCACATACCAAAGTCTTTACCTTATTTCTTGATACTCTGATGGAGTTGATCATGGTGCACAAGGCAGATCTTGGGGATTGGCTCTATGTTTTGCTTACACGTTTGCTTAACAAATTGGGCTCTGATCTTCTAGGGTCGGTGCAGACCAAAATTCACAGAACTTTAGACTTAGTGAGGTGAGTGCATGTATGTTTGTGTGTTGAACAACTATTATTACATTTCAGGTAGTTTTAACAAAATATATTTTGTTTAAGATTTTTATATTTGAAGAAAGTTTTTACTTCCATTAGTGTTTCTGTGAATATTAATTGTTCACTTTATTTGTTTGAAGGCCTTGGTATAATTTTTTTTTAAGAAAATTGGAGGAAATATAAAGTTAGAGATTTAAGAGTGATAGCAAGCCTTGTGGGATACACAATGCTTTGGTAGCATCACACAGTCTTTGTTTTACTGCACCTGTCAGCACCACATGTCCCTTGTAACACCACACCTGTCAGCACCACATGTCCCTTGTAACACCACACCTGTCAGCACCACATGTCCCTTGTAACACCACACCTGTCAGCACCACATGTCCCTTGTAACACCACACCTGTCAGCACCACATGCACCTTGTAACACCACACCTGTCAGCACCACATGTCCCTTGTAACACCACACCTGTCAGCACCACATGTCCTTTGTAACACCACACCTGTCAGCACCACATGTCCCTTGTAACACCACACCTGTCAGCACCACATGTCCCTTGTAACACCACACTTGTCAGCACCACATGTCCCTTGTAACACCACACCTGTCAGCACCACATGTCCCTTGTAACACCACACCTGTCAGCACCACATGTCCCTTGTAACACCACACCTGTCAGCACCACATGTCCATTGTAACACCACACCTGTCAGCACCACATGCACCTTGTAACACCACACCTGTTAGCACAACATGCACCTTGTAACACCACACCTGTCAGCACCACATGTCCCTTGTAACACCACACCTGTCAGCACCACATGTCCTTTGTAACACCACACCTGTCAGCACCACATGTCCCTTGTAACACCACACCTGTCAGCACCACATGTCCCTTGTAACACCACACCTGTCAGCACCAGATGTACCTTGTAACACCACACCTGTCAGTACCACATGTCCCTTGTAACACCACACCTGTCAGCACCACATGTACCTTGTAACACCACACCTGTCAGCACCACATGCACCTTGTAACACCACACCTGTCAGCACCACATGCACCTTGTAACACCACACCTGTCAGCACCACATGTACCTTGTAACACCACACCTGTCAGCACCACATGCACCTTGTAACACCACACCTGTCAGCACCACATGCACCTTGTAACACCACACCTGTCAGCACCACATGCACCTTGTAACACCACACCTGTCAGCACCACATGCACCTTGTAACACCACACCTGTCAGCACCACATGCACCTTGTAACACCACACCTGTCAGCACCACATGCACCTTGTAACACCACACCTGTCAGCACCACATGCACCTTGTAACACCACACCTGTCAGCACCACATGCACCTTGTAACACCACACCTGTCAGCACCACATGTCCCTTGTAACACCACACCTGTCAGCACCACATGTCCCTTGTAACACCACACCTGTCAGCACCACATGTCCCCTGTAACACCACACCTGTCAGCACCACATGTACCTTGTAACACCACACCTGTTAGCACCACATGCACCTTGTAACGCCACACCTGTTAGCACAACATGCACCTTGTAATGCCACACCTGTCAGCACCACATGCACCTTGTAATGCCACACCTGTCAGCACCACATGCACCTTGTAATGCCACCACCACTCACAAATAATACACAAATAATAGATACCAGTGTTCTAGCACATAGACACAGTATATTCAGTGTGTGTACATTTTCTATGAGCGTTCAATGCTTAACCATCAGCACACAGCTATCAAAGGTGTGACCTTGCCTGCGAGCAAGGACTAAAAATTTTAACAAATTATTTGTTCCTATTGTCTGCCTTCCCTAAGCACCCTGTAAGTACTACCCTATGGGTTCTAGGTTTGCCTTCCCTAGATCAAATTCAACTATGTTTATTGAGTCAAGAAAGAAATACATCTCAAAGGGATAGAGTAGCTTAGGCTATTTCTAACCCCCACCTACCCTAGAGCCTTTGGGACTTCACTTCCATTGAGGTTCTTGCTGCTCGGCATTTGCTCCGCCCTTGGGGCCAGCTGGTGTTTCGTGGCCTTTGTCTGGCCTTGGGTAGCATGTTTTGTTGTTGCTGGTTGGGGCATAGGGTGCTGCGTTGCATGCTTACCTACATGGCGGCCATGTTCTGTTCCTTCTGGTGGTGGCGCACTGTTGTAGGTGTGTTACTTCTTTCTCCATGCCTGATGGTCTGCCTTGTTTGGCTATTAGTTCATCTAGAGTATTTTGGTGGCCCTTCTCTAGACCCCCCATGCTTGTATACAGCACAGTAGTCCAGCTTATAGCTCATCTCACTCTTTGTTTCCATTCGAGTTCCACTGGCTTAGCAACACCTTGTCTAGGCTTTCCATAGGCAAAACCCCCTATGGGCCCTGATGGAAACCTTGTAGGGGCTTGGTTGACCGATGGATGTGTCTTCTGAATCCCACCTCACCTTGTGCGAGTTAGAAGGTTGTACAGTGCCATTGTCTTAGGGTGACAGTCACCAGTTTTATCTTCGTCATGCTGCCTGTTGGGTCAACGACACCTTTGGCCCAGAGTCTTTCAAGATGTGTTCTCTGCTTGTGCTCCAGTATACCCATTCTACTGTAACTGAGATTCGGGTTCAGGCAGCTTCTGCCTTGCATGCTAGGTTCAGGTTGATGCAATGCACTAGGTTTGTTGCCAGCTCGGATGTCCCAGGGCTGCCCTCTTGTGGTTTTAGGTACCCGGACTTGGGTCCCTGCTACTGTTGGTTGCTTCAACTCTTGATTCAGTCAGCGCCTGCAAGTCCTTCCCAGGATGGTTTTTGCTCTGTCCCTCCTCTCCCTGCTCCCAGCTCCCAAACGTCTTGAGGGTTTCAGAGTCGGGGCAGGGTTTAATCGGTGTTGAGACTTGGGAGGCTTTGGGGGTCGCCCCATTCGAGTCAGAGACTGAGGTATTCGAGCCTGCTCCTCCTGCTGAGGCTTCTGGGTCCTACAGCAGACCCACGTTTTTTGCTGCCTTTCTCCCTGGATTCTGCCTTTTCTTCAGGGGTAGAGGGCGTGGAGGACAGCTCTGCCCCGGGGCCTGGCTTGGAGGCTTCCAGGGCTGGGGAGGAGTTGCCCTGGGGGGTTTGGCCCCTCTTTGATCTCGCTTGGGTTTTGGTGCCCTTGTCGCGGGGTTTGTTGTTGCATGGGGAGGTGTTTTCTTACACCCATTCCCTGTACGAGATTGATTTGGGGTCGGCTTCCCTTGAGTTCTTCGGCTCCGTCTTTCCGGTGGATTTCTCACGTTCGAATCGCGCCTAAGGGGGTTCGCGAGGCTCTTCCAGCTTACCTCCTGCGAGACCTGGATTATATCTCTCTGATGTATCCGTCCTCTCTTTGAGTACGGCTCTTCTTCCCCATATTGGGTGTGTTATGAGGTTCCGGAGTCTTCCTGGTTTGCAGACTGCCATCGGCTAACAGGGTATCGGCCGCGCTGTTGAAGCTGTTTGTGCCATTTCTCAGGGACACGGTGTCTCTGTTCTTTGCCTCACGTGTTGCCAGGTCATGCCCGCTTTCTGCTTGGGCCCTAGCTCTTAGGTTTTTGTTGCTTTTTTTGTCCATTGCTGTTTGCAGACTCTGCTGTCATACAGTTTCTGTGGGTGGCCTTGTCTTGTTGCCATCATATTTTGGATTTATTGCTTCTCCGGGGTGGCCGTTCTCGGGCCTCTTGGATGGGTCATGCCGGGGCTCGTTTCTCTTCCAGTTGGGGTGGACCTTTGGTGCCTGTTTCTGAGCGGTGTTGTCTGGACGGCGCTATGCTCGCTCTACTCGTCGTTCGGTTTCTTGTAAGGGGTGTCGGCCCTTTTGTGAATCACTGAAGGGGGGGATGGAGCTCACGCTGTTTGCTCATGCCTGGTCCCACAATTTGTGGGCCATTTGGGTCGTGTCCTCTGGCCTGTGATGGCGTTGGGAAACGGCTCCTCCTTCGGAGGGTTCAGGGCTGGTGGTGCAGGCTTCTTCCCTTTTGCTCTGTCGGGTCATTTCGGAATACTCGCCTAATTGTACTCACCTAATTGTGCTTGCAGGGGTTGAGCTTTGGTTCTTTGGTCCCGCATCTCAACCATCAATCAACTGGTGTACAGATTCCTGAGCCTATTGGGCTCTATTATATCTACATTTAAAACTATGTATGGAGTCAGTCTCCACCACATAACTGCCTAATGCCTTCCACCTGTTAACTACTCTGATACTGAAAAAATTCTTTCCAACATCCCTGTCTCATTTGGGTACTCAGTTTCCACCTGTGTCCCATTGTTCGCGTCCCACCAGTGTTGAATAGTTTATCCTTGTCTACCCTGTCAATACCCCTGAGGATTTTGTAGGTAGTGATCATGTCTCCCCCTTACTCTTCTGTCTTCCAGTGTCGTAAGGTGCATCTCTCGCAGCCTTTCCTCGTAACTCATGCCTCTTAGCTCCAGGACTAGTTTAGTGGCATACCTCTGAACTTTTTAAAGCTTCATCTTGTGTTCGACAAAGTACGGGCTCCATGCTGGGGCTGCATACTCCAGGATTGGTCTTACATATGTGGTATACAATATTCTGAATGATTCCTTACACAGGTTCCTGTATGCTGTTCTGATGTTAGCCAGTCTCGCATATGCCACAGACGTAATTCTTTTTATTTGGGCTTCAGGAGACAGGTTTGGTGTGATATCAACCCCTAGTTCTTTCTCCCTGTTCGTTTCATGAAATACTTCATCTCCCATTCTATGTCCTGTGTCTGGACTTCTGTTTCTGCCGCCTAGTTTCATTACTTTGCATTTACTCTGGTTGAACTTGAGCAGCCATTTGTTGGACCATTCATTAATCTGTCCAGGTCATCTTGTAGCCTCCTACTATCATCCTCTGTTTCAGTCCTCCTCATAGTTTTTGCGTCATCAGCAAACATTGAGAGAAACGAATCTATGCCCTCTGGGAGATCATTTACATATATCAGAAACAA